CTATTTTGTAGAATGAGCACCAGAAAAAAAGGACAGCAGGTGCATCTACATGTGCAATGTGTTTACACATGCACCTTGGACCACAACACATTGAGCCAGTTTGGAGCAGCTCTGGCTGGCAGGGGACCCAGGGGGTCAGCTTAATGTACTGCTAAGAGGCTGGCAAGGCATGGGGGTGCTTCAGAGTGCGGCCAGTCAGCAGGCAGCAGGTCCCATCAGCATCTACATGTGCATTGCTGCACAGTAAATAATACCATCACAAGACAGTACTTGTATTTACAAGTACTAACCTACAACAGCATTTATTAGTTTACTGCGACCTAATAGGGTTGCACATGTAGATGCAGAGACTTTACTGCAAAGCTAATTAGGCAGGTCTGCAGTAAATGTCTCGTGTAGACGTGCCCAGCTTATACTAACACTCTCACTCCCAACAGCTGTTTACCTCATTAAAAATCCATGACCAAAAACAACACTGATTAGCTTTTCTTCAAAGTGTCAGCTAAGATGCTGAAATGTGAATAAGCCTGGAACATATATCTAGCTTATCACTTTTACAGCTGATCTCTTCCAGGCCAAAGTGGCCCTATCTGTAGCTATTCAGTACACAATCATCAACCCAATACCTCTTACAGATGCTAAGAAATAATTTAGGAGAAAAAAGAACTAAATCTCATTTTTAGCTTGTTCACAGTAACTTTAAGAACCAGGCGTTCCAATGCAGCACAAGTTATCTGTTAATGCAGCAGGAACCTGAAACACAGCATTGTTCCAAGTAAAACAAACATTCCTTTTCCATCTCTGTTCCTTGAAAGGATTACGTGCTAGTAACTTGGCTACTAGGATCATGAAAGAACTGCATGGAGAAGAGCTTGTCAGGTGATTGGCTCTGCACAGTTAAGAGGGATGCAGGTGATCTGGAGTTCATGCTCATGTTCATCACTTTGATGGCTGATAAGACAGGTGCACTCAGTTCTTCATTCACATACGAAGCCTTTGAGGGTCTGTGGTGAAGGCATAATGGGAGTGCTGGAATGGGTGGATGCAACAGGTGGGAAAGGCACAGACTAGTCAGGAAAAGAGCTGATAAAATAACGCCATGGGAGGAAAAAAAAGCAACTGTCCATTTACGCTGGAGTGTTTGCTGTCTCTGGGACTGGAGGTCAGGACCCATGGACTCTATACTCCACCCTTTGAGAAATACTGGACAAAAATGACATAGGCCAAGGTTTTCAAAAGAGCCCCTGTTTATGGGTATCAACTTTGGAATCAGAACATGCCTGATCTTCAGAGCTCACATGGGTTTCTAATGCATTTACACTGTAGCTTCTAAGAATCACAAGGATGCTCCCCCATTCTTGGCTTTTAATGAGGCAGAGAAGCCAAAATGTTTACAGTGGGCATGTCTACACGTTGCCCTAAAGCGATGTAGTGTTCACATGTGTCTATACATGATCACCAGCTACACTGCCACAGCAGCACACTCCCCAGTTATAGTATGCCACTATGACAATGTACCGGCAAAATCTAACAGTGCAATGTGTGCACGGTTCAGTAACCACCCATACTGCACCGTGCTTTAGTATTTCCAAAAGCAAGTACTAAAGCATGGCGCTGTAGCAATGTTGCCACATGGCGACACGTAGACACACCCAGGAGGTGTAAATGATCATCTTGTTAAGTGATATGAAGTGCAAGGGACTTTCAAACCTTTGTACAAAGGAGTCAACTGCTAAACAATAGTTGCACTAGTAGCAGATGAATGGTCTTGGAACTTCAAGCTGCAGGGGTGCATGCTTTCAGTGCACGGCTATTTTAATACAGCCTAATTTCAGTTCCTTGGGCTAAAATCTAGGGGATTAGAGAATCTCAAACTCCCCCTCAGTATAGCATTTCAGAGGAATAAGGCCTTATCCTGCTATAAGATCTCTCTCTTTCTCCTTTGGTGACCTCAGTAAGTGACAATCATCTCCTGTGGCGTGAGAAGTGAGCTCCATCCATTGTGGTAAAAAAACCCTCATGCGCAGATTAAGGAAGTGCAACCTCCCAACACAACCACTGCTCTGCTGTTTAACATACTTACGCTTTTCATTGGCCTGGGCGGTGTGGAAGAGCGTTAAGGGTCTCTCGCTGCAGGAGGGAGGCTTCGAATCTGTGCTCTTCTTACGAGATAACAGCAGCTGCGAGTTTGGCGGTGCCGTCTCTGGCACAGTGTTAAATATCTATAAATAAAACGAAGGTTCTTTAAATGGTCACATGTTGCAATGAAGTGTGGGTGGAGGGGGACTCCATTACAGCAGAGAAACTCAGTGAGGGAAACAGCCCTGAGAAACCAACAACTTGGCAAGTTACCTTTTTTAGGGTATAGAAAATGAGATTATAACATTCAGCTCCCCACCCAAACTGCCCTCCTTTCCTCTGTTCCTCACCAAAGCCACTTTGTTAATTAGTAAAAATGAACATTTTAATAGGTTTGTAAACCACTTAAGAGACCATGAATGACACCGAGGAGCTAACTGCAGGGAAAAAAAAAAAAGACAAATGATAGTAAAACCAAATGCCTATCTATATGTATATATTTCCATACGGTGCAGCTGTTCCCCATAGGCTGGCAGTTCTCAGGGCCCAGTGATGTAAACCAGCTTGTGAAATTCTTTGCAACTCCCAGCCACAGCTGTCTGTAAACTGAGTGATCACATTCTTCCTAAGGGGAATGGAATTTTTAAGCAGGATAAACCTTAACAGCAGCATTATTTCCCCCTTTGTTATTTATTGCTTCTTTTCTTTAACCCAAGGTTCACACAGCACTAGTGTTCCCTGAAAGCCATTCTTTGAAGGGCTCCCCTAGCAAAATTGCATTAAACACATACTTTAGTGCCTTTTCCTACTCTAACCCTCTGAGCCCAAGACTTCAAAACCAGTAGTTGTGCTGGGAAGTAAGGTTGCTCAGTATGAAGACTGTAGTTTGCCAAAAGGAAAATAGCATTTCAGAGACATCTCTCCCCCACATATACTCCCATAAATGCGAAGTACTCAACCAGAACACATAGCCATTAGCTATTTCTGAGGTGTCCAATTTCTTGCAGAAAGTTATAACATTTTGTCTGCCAGCTCCTATGAATAATTGCCAGAAACTCCTTGCTTTGTTTCATGTAACAACACAACGTCCCCTCCACTATGTCCCCTCCACAAAAATAAATGCAAAAGCAGGGAGCCTTTAATCAACTACTTTTAATATTGCATCTCTTTCTCAAAAGCATGAATAAGCAGGTTCAATGATAAATGCTAGTGCTTATGCCCCTTGGAAAAGTGATGTTTTGTTGTTTTAAGCGAATTGTACATTCGGGAATAAGCCTTATTGCAAATCCTTCTTGCCTGGTATAATTCAGAAATGGTGACCATAGTCATACTTCCTTTGAAAGAGCAGAGATGGTTGCACTTTCGGTGCCCCATGATTCAACCTGATCTTTTGAACAAACATTTTAATTTAAGCATCACATTGACTTGGGTTTAAAAAACAACAACGAAAAAGAAAAAAGATCTATTTCTGACTGTAACATATTCCAGAGGAAATCAAACAACAGCAGCTTAACTGCATCAAGCCAACCAAACCCTCAGTGCCACATAATTCACAGCACTTCAGCCAAATCTCCTATCCGTTGATAGACGTTGCTAAAGCTGAGCTTCTGTATCTGAGGCTAATAATGGGGGAGAAACAGGAAACAGCGATGAATCATCACACAAAAAATTCTGAGAATATTCAGGGCCACTGATAAAGGCACTGATAAGTGAAAAGCTGCATTTGACTGTAAGTAGTTGAACAGAATGCAAAACAGGTGGAAGGGTCATGTATTCTTAGTTCTTACTTTTAAAGATCTACCAATCCATCCTTCTTGCTTTATGTATCAGTTGAAGGAGTCCCAGTTCAAAGGCTTGCTCAGTTGTGCTACATACGTCTTTCTCACGCCAGATGGTCATATGTCTCTGTGGTCACGTCACACTATGTCATTGTTACTCTCACGGTCTGAAAGATCAGCCACCAACGGCTACTCAGGATCTTTCTGTCTCGCATCCATTTCTTCTTGCAACTGACCCCTCAGGTACAGAACTGAAGCACTGGGAGAATGAACAAAGCAACCTTAAACGGGACTTTCCCCAAATCAACCTTCTAGGATCCCATGGCATTCTTTTAAATCTGGCTTCAGAAAGCTCATAATTCAGTTAGAAGCTTTGTTGGCAATACTTGCATAGGTTATCATGCTAAAGTACAAATCAGAGGCACAAGCAAGTAAGTTACACCAAAGCACTCACTTTCTTGCATGCTAGATCACCTGACCCAAGAGAATGGAGTCCTTTTAAAACAGAGCGCTAGGCCGCAGGTCTGCTCCATTCCTCTTGATTTTAAAAAGCGCATGGGTAAATGTGTTTTATTTTTCTCATTTAGAGTGCCCACCAATACAAAATTCGGCATGGAAGATGTATTGAGAAAAAAACAATACAAACAAAAGCTTTTCAGGTTGTGTGTGATCATTACTCTCATACGTTTACAGAAGAACTCCCAGAGAGGGCAGCAGGGGGCAAAGACAGACAGACATACACTTGCCGGCATATACATAACTTGCGACTAGACACTCTCAGCTGGAATCATGTGGTTTTAATTTCATTGGAACATCATTATAAAGAATTCTATTAAACTACACACTTTAGCGTCACATGCATGGTGAGCTATCAGCACCAATTGTGCCTTGCAGATCAAACTGCAATAGAAGAAATTTTTAACTGATCCTAAGGGCTGTACAAAGGGCAACATTGCCAACTGGGCACTGTGCTCATGACTTCACCCATGCAATTTTGCAAAATTAATGATCATTTTGCAGAAAAGACAGGCAAGGTTTCAGATGCTGTGTAAAGCTAAGCAACATCCTGCCTCAACATCTCCTTTCTATCCCTCCACCCCTAGCAGACTTTCAAGGGCTTCCAGTTCTTTCTAGTTTTATAGACTGCGTTCTATTCACTGCTGTGACTCCAATTGTGCAAGGTTCAGTAAATATCCTCCCCCTTCGCCTCTCTGCTATGTTATAACCTTCTTTTATTAAGCTACAACTTCTTTTATTAACATCCCTTCCCCCTTTTATTTTCCCTGGTGTAGCCACTCCAAAGATTAAAGTGTTGCCGGCCCTGAAAAAGCCCACATCTTGCTTGCTCATGACAGTCATCATTTCTAGACAATCTGCAGCCCTTGGCAACAGCAGGATAATAGCCTAGTGAGCTGCCATTAATGATCACAGCTGAATCATGCAATTGTGCGTGTGCTTAATTTACTCAGCAGAGTCATGACTCTGACCGCCATGCAATTTTATAGTGACAATGTGACACCAAATCATGCTGAAACAGAAACACCAAAGTTTCCTCCAATACAGCTTTTATCATTTATTTGCTTGTGTTTGCATTTTGAGAGCATTGATTCTGTCATATTTGGTTAGAGAAACTAAAGACAACCAATTCCAAACATGTCTATCTGGCAGACTGAAGAGGACAAGGAAGAGAACTCTACTAATGCTGTCCTTTCAATCCCAAGCATATCAAGCTATTAAGATGAACAGCGTGACCAAGAAATGGAAACAATCTAGCGCTGTGCTAAGAATATTAAAAAGTATTCTCTATGTCACCTATGAATAACTTGTAGCAGTTGAAGCTAAAATTAGTTGCTTGAATGGGGGGTGGGGGGAGGAAATCAATAAATACCTAAGTTTAAGAAAATGCTGATGTCTGTTTTCTATCTCCCCTTCAGGCCTTGAAGATACAAAGAACCAGAAGATAAATAAATACTTTACATTTGACTTTGACACAGTATACTCAAGAAACTATATAGGTCTCTTTAAAAGGATATGAGGAAACACCAGTGCAAGGTTTAAAAAAGGGACACCATTTCTCAACATGAAGACTAGAAAAAGTTTGGTATAAAACCCTCCTCTCACCTCAGGCAGAGACAACCCAAGCAGGGTGCGGGGCTCAGGGCAAGTCAGTCCATGCAGGGCCCCGGTCCCACTCCCCCACTCCAATCCCACCCGCCCCAGACCCAAAGAAGCTGCCGCAGCCATTGGCAGTGGGGGGAGGAGGGGGCTGGACTCGAAGCAAGCGGCGGTGATGTAGAGTCGCTATGACCGCTCCGCTCGGCTCTGCAGGGCCCCCCAAAGCGCAGGGCCCGGGGCAGTCGCCCCGATTAGCCCCCCGCTAGGGACGGCCCTGACCTCAGGTGAAAGTTTTTAAACTCAGCACTAACTCAAATCCATTCTCCAGTGAGCACCATCTTAGGGCTAGATTCACAAAAGGACTTTTGGGTGCCTAAGTACAAAATGGAGTGCTTCAAAACCCTTGCTCAACTGCTGCCTCACCCTTGGCATTTTTTCCCATGTTTAATGTAAGATGCACCATTAGTCCTTGGATCAGAGCCTATAACACAGATTATAGCTCACCTTCCCAGCTAAATACAGGCAGTCAAAAAGCCTGAGGCTGAATTGATTCAATCTGCAGGTTAGTCTAAACTGTGTAGATTAAACTGATAAGCAAATGAACAGACATTCACTTTTGAATCAAGAAATATAACCATATGCCAGCAGTGACTCAGGCCAGAACTTTGAAAACAGTTTATGCGCACCAAACTTCAGATTTGAACTGGGTTCCAATCCGATTTCCAATATAGCATGGACAGATGTCTCCAGCTGGTATAGCTGTTGTGCTGGAAGGGGAGGGGGGCAGATCAACACCCCCCCACCAGGAGCGAGGGAGGGGGCAGGCATCATCCAGCCAGGGTGGGTGCAGGATGGAGCTGTGGCTCGTGGGGGGAAGGTGGCTCTCGCCTTCGTTTGCACCGGGGGGGGGGGGGGTGTGCCCCCCGATCTGCGTGGGGCAGGGAAGGCAGGCTGCAGCCGCAGGCTGGAACCAGGCTTTTCTTGCCAGGGGCTGGACTCAGAGCGGAGGCTACCAAGAGGGCTGCAGCCACCCCAAATTTTACCATAGCACCCTCCCAGCACTGCTGCCACCATGCTCCCAGTGCAGCCCCAGCTCTTCCTGGCTCAACCCCCACCTCCTGCCACACAGCAGTAAGAGCCAGGGCTGTGTCAGGCACGCAGCGGCACTGAAAGGGAGCTGCCCCCCACCATCCCGATGAGCCACACCGCTAGCCTACGCCCCACACTGGAGTAGGAGGGGGTTGAGCCGG